TCATGCCCTATGAAAAAACAAAACTTAGTTTTTTAGAATTGATAAATGTAGTTTTTAGATCAAGCATAGCCAAGATATTAATTAACTATATAAACTCTGTGAAACATCAGAAAAACCTCAATTAGGGAATAGTTTTGCCTTTCTGGTTTTATTATTTACTGTTTTATAATAAACTATCCACTGATCAAAAAATAAACATTTGCTCAACTCAAAACCCTTTTATTATCAATTCTAACACCATTACCACTGTTTAGCAAAACAAAACAGAAAGACTTAAATTTCTAGCCAGATCTTGGTAAAGAGAGAGATTTACAGAAAATGGCAGAAGAGCTTAAAACTATAAACTTATTGGAAGTTTCCACTTAATAGGTAAACAGCTGAGTACAGATTTTGCCACTATGGAATGTCTATCTAGGATGAGAAGTCCTGTTTTCCCTTGAAACACCTATATTCCTAATTCTGAAGGAACACAAGGTCACCTAACACAATCTTTGGTGTACCTCTAAGGAAAACCAGTGTTTCTGCAAACATAGATCAATCTGTCTCAGGAACAATTATTGCCAAATAGAGTATTCTATATATTTTTCCAGTTATTTTCAAGAAATATTGACAATGATGAACAAATCAAATTTGCCTCCCCCAAACTGTTATACTAAGTATCATGTAAAATAAGAGAGGGAAAAGTAGTTAACCCTATTACAGAAAGATTTTGTTAAGAATAGATATGAAAATAACTGGGCCCAAAGAACATATCACCTAACATACATACTTAGCCCTCTCCCTCCCTCTTCCTAACCCCTCACACATCATCCACTTTGGCTTTAAATTGGTCCTGCTGTTCTCTTTACAGCTAGTGAGTACTAACGGTTACCCAACAAAATAAACCAGGTTTCAGGTTTCAACACTATAGATGTTTCAACTTTCCCTCATCAGTAAGATATAACAGAACACATTTTTCACATTTTGTGTATCTTCCAAAACTTATTTTCCACCAAAAGCAAAATATTTCTGGACCTGAATCCCCCTCTTTGTTAAGAACTATTGGCAATTAATTTGTGCTTATCCAATTTTTCCAAAGGATACTCTGACCTTCCTAATTCTATGAAAGACTATAAATTGTTTAAAAAGTGGAGTAACATTTATAAAGGCTAAGACTGCAAAACAGAATTTTAAGGACTTAAAAGTTCATATCAATTGACTTGGCTAACACATTTCTCACCATCCTTAAAAAAAAAAAAACTTTAGAAACCACCCACTCTTTTAGGTCCAAAATATTTTACTTTGTATTATTTATGCTGTGTCTCTCTAAGATTAGGTTCCTTGAGAATCGATAACTTATTAGCATAGCCAAGATGCAAAATTAATCCATTCATTTACTGAACACCTTTAAATATCAAAACAGTATTTCATTTTTACCATGCAATGATGAATAAGTAAGGCAGCCCTTTCAACTCAGCTCAAACCCAATGAAGGAACCCTACACAACAGCCTACCTACTAAACGCTGTAGGGGTAGTGCACAAGGAAAAATGGAGTTAAAGAATGAGGTCAAAAGTTGAACCAAGCAGTAAAAAAAAAAGATGTGCAAGATAAAAATATAACCATATTTCTGCAAAGGAACCAGATGTTTTCATTGTGGGGAAAAATTTACACACATACAGTTTTGTCACCATTAAACTGGCAAAGACAATAAACCTGGAATTTCAGAATAGCCACCAACACTGCAAAGTAATTTAAATAGCTCCCTAGATGCAAAATGGAACTTCCTTCAAGAGTTAAAAAAAAAAACACAATAAACCTCAGCAGGGATTTTGCTTGTCTACAATCATTTCCCTCTTTCAGAGGGCACAAATCTAGTCAGTACCAAAAAAGAAATGACCATACATATTTTTGAGTAACAAATTTAAGATATTACTGGGTTTATAGGTAGTCACAGGGAAGGCAGTACAGCACAGTGAAGACAAGTAATGACTTCATAGCATCTTACAACACTAATAGACAGTGCCTGCAATGGGAGTGGGGTGGGGGACTTGATAATATGGGTCAATGTTGAAACCACAATGTTGCTCATGTGAAACCTTCATAACATTGTATATCAATGATACCTTAATTTAAAAAATGAGTTACAGTTGGGGAAAAAAGCTATTACGGGGTTTATTCAACAAACTTTTTTTTTTAGCTTAAAGACTTAAAAGAAACTGTACCTCATATTTTGTAGGATTCTCTGTCCATCCCATCCCTTGGCAACTTTTCAAAGCAAATCTATGATTCAGAGTGGTTTTAATATTTTTTCCTATCATTCTTCAGCTTTGTTTAGTTTTTGTCCATCATTTCAAGTCACTCTCTTTTCCCTTAAATGTTCAATGCTACTACTGTCTTACACATCAAGCTAGTTGACTCATATTTTTAATAATTTCATTACCATTTCAGTTAAAGTTGGATAATATCTGGGATTTGCTTCAAAGTAATGGGTGGAGAGAAAATGAAAATATGGGGAAAACAAGATTAGCAACAAGTTGAAGCTCTATGATAGAAATATCATACATTCTATTTTTTTCTGCATATTTGAAATCTATCACTTTAAAAAGTTGAAAGATTATATGAAGATGACTCTTGTTTGCAATCAAATGTCAAAAACTGTCCTTCAGGTTGATGGATATGAAGATACAGGAGCCACCATAAAGGTGGGGACAAGTTAGTTGATCATACAAAAGAAAAATGGCTATAGCTGACTGTAACACATTAAACCATGAATCCAGTGACACTCAATCTTAAAAAGGAGAAAGGAAAAAAAGGAAATTTCTCTTAAAGAAAAATATGAGCCAGCAAGTTGAGAAAGAATAACAGATTAAAAAAACCCAAACTACCATGTGTCACCTCCAATGTAATAACTATATAAACGATTATCAATTGATGATAAATAACTAGGTAAAAAGGTTACTGAGGAATGCAATATCAGCCCACAGATTACTAACTGCAAAGGGGAAAAATTTTTCACAACGAAGACGTCCAAGCCAAGCAAATAAACAAACTTAACAATCACTAAAACAACTTTGCATGAAGTGTCTTTTGATGCAATGTTATAAAGTATTCTGTATGAAAATAGTTAACCCTACATTATCAAAGCTCTTGAGTTTAGACCTAACCATAAAGTTTCAGAAACACCGCAGATAAAGAGACAAGTTAAATGACACCACACACAAAAAAATCAAGTAAACTTAGGAAATGGCAAGTCCTACTTGAAAACTGTCCTGAATTCCTCAGACAGACAATATCCTAGGAGAAAAAATATGGGGTCTATTCAACCAAATGATGCAATGAAAACCCAGATTAGATTCTGGCTTAAAAAAAAAAAAAAACAAATTTACGAATCACATCTTGGGACAACTGGGGAAATTTGTAGACATACTAGATTTTAGAAATGGTATGGTTTACTATTAGTTTTCATAGGTAGGAAAATGGTATGATGGTTATATAACAGCATTAATGCCCTTTATATAAGGGAATGCTGAAATATGTTTCTACTTACTGTGAAATAATGTGTATGAGAGATAAAATAAATATGGCAAAATATTTAACAATTGTTGATTCCACGTAAAGAATCTTATTCTTGGTATTCACTGAACTTTGCTCTGTTTTAAACTTTGTACATTAAAACTTATGGGTAACTTCTTTTCTGTGTATTTCCACCACCACCTCTATTTAAAACACCACAGTTCTAGAATATTTACGGTCATAGCAACATTTCAGCCTTTACAATTTTAGATAAATTTAAGAATTAACAAGGAACTCCGGAAACTTTCAGTGAAACCTTAGTACATTACCCCTCCTCGGCTTTAAGATGACCAACTATAAGGCCAGAAAAAGGATATACATAAACAGATTCGATATAATTTTAGACTTTGAGTTCTTGGGCATACTAACGGCATGTGAAACACCGCTAAGATTTCACGTCTGAACCAGCTGACAAACAAACACAAAATTCTGATTAGTCCAAGTGCCCCGAAATAATGAAATTTAGTCACCTAGACTTTTCAATAGGAATGCTCGTTTTCCCTCATCTCTGTTAATCTCCAAAAACAGCCTCCACTTTGTAAACTGGGGACTTTGAAAACGAAAACCTAAGTATTTCGTTGCTATGGCAATGGGAAATTTCAGGAAATTGAGACTCTGCACGATAGCCAACCTCCGTTTTAAAAACTATTTACCCGAACATACCAGGACTTAAATAGAAAATAAAATTGAATGACGTCTTTCACAGAATATCAGTTCCCGCTCCCAAACTAAAAAGTAAATACTATCCTACAAAATTCTGAGCAAAAGTAACGTTTAAAGGTCTGAATTTAAAAATATTTAATGTCACATGTCCAATACTACAACATATGCTTTTATTTAGTGACCAAAACAGGCTTTCGATTTAGCAAATCCTGCAATATTTGTGTCGCTGAAAAACGAAAATGAAATGTGGATAAGATAAGAAGGAAGCGGGAAAAAGTCACAAAATTCCCAAACTCTACTCATAGCATACTGCTTTCTTCATTCGCTCTAGCGACAGTCCTCCAGATTAGTTTCATCTCAAATTATTTCTCAAACTAGTAACCTATTTTCTGGGTACCGTACATATAGGAAAGGGAGCGGGGGAAACAATTTTTTTTCCGTAAACAGCAAGCACACGTTATAATTCCTAACCACCCTAATATCAAAATGGTATCAAAGGAAGGTTTCCCATTGGAATAAACCCCCTGAACCTAAAGGGGACAAAGAAGCTACCACTACTGTCTAAATCAAGTACTAGTTCTTAATAACGCCTAAAACGGAGAAGCCAAAAAATAATTTTAAGTTTCAGATCTTGCTCCCCAACCTGTCCCTATTCTCCTGTACCCGAACCCCTGGGCTCATTAAGCGCAATTTATTTCTCAAGTGAACATAGCCAAGTATTCGGACGAACAGAGACAAGGAGAAAAGCGGTCGCCACGAGGCCCCACCACTCTCCTTCCTCACCTGCTCCGTGGCTCCGTCTCCTGACATGGCCTCAGCTGATTGGAACGTGCGAACTGGCCCGCGATGCAAAGCTAGAAGAGAAAAACTAAACTAAAAACCACCCCAAACCAGTAAAGTTGCCCCCTGCCCAGCAGAGCCAGACCACCAACTCAAATCGCCACCGCCTACTCAGCTATGAATTAAAATGGCTGCGCCCTGCCGGTGAGGAGGGAGGTGTGACTTCTACATTAACTTCCGGGGCAGCGGGTGGGGCCAAGAGCCGGGTACCCAGCTGTACAGAAGCCGACGGATCGCAGAGGCTGGCCCAAAGCCTGTGCTGACGTCACGGTCCTGGGCTGGAGGGCTGGAAGGCTGTTGCTGAGCTGGCTGCCAACCGACTGGGAGGCGGGAAACTGTTTTGCCTAGGGGCTCGCGCGCATTTTAGAATTTAATTATCAAGCGGTGGAGCCCGGTTCGTCACCGTTGAAGCCTGAGTGTTAAATCAGTTCAATTCAGGCGCACTGGCCATTTTAGGGCGGCTAAGTGTTGAATGCTTCCTACATTTTGGAGATAAGGAATCCATCGAGGTTTTAAGGGGTATTCAACTAACGCTTTTTATGCTTCTTACGGTCGAGGGGGACGGATCAAGCCCATATTAATTTATACTGTCACCATCTATTATGTTTAAGGCCTTGAGGTCGGTAGGTCCTAGGTTTTCAGCTCAGCATCTCACTATTCCTTGTCTGCAAAGTAAGGCGAACAGCACTCAGGCTCTGGAGCCAGACTGCGTTTGCTCGAATCCTGGCTTTATCTCTCATTAATATGGGTAACCTTGGGCAATTTAACTCCTCCGTGCCTGGGTTTCCTTGCCTATAGTTAGGAAAAACAACAGTTCCTGCAATTTGAGTACGTTATACATGAAAAAACAGTACCTGGCATAGTCCAAGATTAAGTGAGAGCAAGTCTTCTCAAACTCTTCCATTCAAGGATCATGGTAAGCTACCTCCTTCTATTCTCCTTGTCTATAGTGGCCTACGCCCCAGAAAAAGTAAACTATTCAACCTTTCCCATATACACCTTACTCTTTTTCCGTCTGGGTGCTTTAACTCCTATTTCCTCCTCTGTGCTTTACACATTATGAATTTTTACCCTTCCAGGTAATCAAACACAAGAGAAAAGATGTGTTAACAGATATTTTACAATCCAATAATAGAAGACTAAATGAAATATATCAAGATACTAGTACAATGAAATGTCATTGTGGGTAAAATTGTAATATTTTCAGAATATCTCGCCTGGCTTTAGTACATCTGCATATAATAGGCGTTCAAAGGTGGAAAAAAGTATGGCTTTAGTGCATTTGCATCATTCCTCAGGGGTGGAGAGAAGTCATCTCCATATCAATGGGTAATTACCTGGGCAACAGAGGTTTTATCTGTACCTGAGAGGTGAGGAGGAGGGCTGGTTTTGCTTCTGCTGGAGCAGGAAAGAGAGAAGGCCCTGGACTGCAGTTTGTAAGCAATAAATGGATTTTAAACTTTATTTCTCCCTTTGACTGATTCTGGTTTTTAGAGGTAGTTTGCCCCGGGATTTCCTTTCCCTGGACTTACAGTCATTCAGCCAGTAAACTGATACTAATATGCAATTACTAACAAAGATATCCATGATATTAAGTAAAAAAAAAATAGAATACTAAAATAGCACACATTATATAGGATATACAGTGTGTATACACACACACACACATATACATAAATAGTTGACCCTTGAACAACACAGGTTTGAACTGCATAGGCCCACTTATATGCAGGTTTTCTTCAATTCATGTATTGGAAAAAATGTTTGAGATTTGTTGACAATTTGAAAAAACTCACAGATGAACCATGTAGCCTAGAAATATTGAAAAAATAAAGGAAAAGTTAGGTATGTAATGAATGCATAAAATATATGTACATACCCATCTATTTTATCATTTACTACCATAAAATCAATTGTAGGCTATTTGTAGTTACGTTTTTGAGGAGTCAAAGCTATATTGTTCAAGAGCCAACTGTATATACACTACCTCAAAATATTAAAAGTAATCTCTAGATAGAGTGTCACACAATTTTTCTCCTTTTATCTGCTTCCTGAGTTTGTCTATGAAGAACTTTGCAAGAGCAACAGTCTTAAAGATATTATTCACATTCTATTCTTCAAAGTTTGACTCAGGTGCCATTTTTTTCCCAATATTTATTATGAAAAAGTCAAAGGAATAAAAGGTCAAAGAATAAAAGAATAAATACCTGTATCCCCACCACTTTCACAACATTTGTGCATATTTGTTTTATATGTATCTATTTACATATATAATTTGTTTTTTTGCAAAACAGTTTGGAAGTAAATAACAGACATCATGACTCTTCATCCCAAAATAAATCAATTTTTATATTCTGAGAATGACATTCTCCTTGGTATCTACAATATCATTTTCACTCTGAAGAAAATAAATAATCATCTCTTATTCAGTCATTTTCAAATTACTCAAAAAATGTATTTTAGAAAGTTTTTACAAATCAGAATCCAAAGAAATTTAAATCATTACATTTAATTGTTATATTTCTTCAGTCTTTTTTAGTTCTATAAATAGTCCACTCATCTTTTTTATTTTTTATGAATTTTTTATTTTTGTCTAGTTGTCTCTAGGAATATTCCATATTCTGGATTCTCCCCAAAGTGTGCTGTAAAGGAGTAATTAGATTCAGATTAAACATTTTGGTAAGAATATGTCATAGGTATAGCTATGTACTTTGTTTTGTATTATATCAGGAGGTACATCAAATTACTAGTTTGAGGCTGAGTTTGATCACTTCTCTAAGGTTATGGTTATCAGATCTCTCCATTATGTATATTTCATCCTTTGTATTAAGAAATAATTGAAGAGTTAAGGCTATGGCACAGTGCTAATTTCCTGTTCCCCAGCAAATTTTCACCATGGTCTGGTAATCTATCAATAAATCTTTCCTGAATTAACAATGAAATATTTGTTGATTAAATAATAGTTTTCAAATTCTATTATTCCTTCTACATTAACAGAAAGCTCTTCTGTGAAAAAGAACTCTTCCTCATTAACCTTTAAAAAAAGCAAGGTAAATGTCTGATTTTTTTCCCTTTAATGACCAATTTTCAAAGTAAAGTTTGATTTCATATCTACAAGTAGTGGAAAATGATTTTTTTGCCTGGCCTTCTCCTTTTGAGTATCATTGTGGATTCATAAGACATGAGTTGTTTTAATCAATTGTGATCATTGTTCTTTTGAGGCCAGTACAAGTCCCTTCAAATTGGGTGAGTAGATCCTGTGTCTTTTTGACATGATGCTATTAGTCTTCAACAACTTCCTAGCCTTCTGGCCTGAGTTGTCTCAGACTCACTTATGTACCTTCCCTATCACAGATCTGGACTCAAGTCATTTCTCCAGTGTACCCTGGTTCCTTCAGTTGGGAAATAGTATTTAGAACCAAGATGTAGGCAGTTGATGTACTTTTTGCTAGTGGGTATCATTGCTTTCAAGTCTTTTCAGTATTTAGATATACGAAATGTATTTTCTAAATCATGACTTATTATATTGATTTCCAATTCAAATTTAATATACTGGTGTGGATAAAATTGTAACATTTTCAGAATATCTCACCTGGCTTTAGTGTATTTGCATATCCTCAGGGGTGGAGAGAAGTTCATCTCCATGTCAGTGGGTAATTAGCTGGGCAACCAAGGGTGTGTCTGAACCTGAGAAGTTAAGGGGAAGGGCTTGCTTGCTTGCTTCTTCTGAGCAGGGGAGAGAGACGGCACTGGACTGCAGTTTGTAAGCAATAAATGGGTTTTAAACTTTATTTCTCCCTTTTTCAGTTTTTAGAGGTATTTTGCCCTGGGATTTCCTCTCCCCGGACTTACAACCAGTTTTCTATTTTGTTTATTTTACATTGATATCTCTCTTCTCTTATACTAAAAATATTGCTTCCTACAAAATATGTTTAAAAGTTTCTAAATTAAAATACTGATACTGAAGAGGATTAAAGATGGCAGTGTGAGAGAGACAGAGGCTTCCTCCTAAAACTGGATACAATTAGAAAATATAGTTGGTGCAACTAATCCTGAGAGAGCAACAGGAAAGAGGACGGCACCAGACTGCATACACCTGGAGAAAACAGCATACCTCACCAAATGGGGCACCAATACCGCTCCCCTGTGACCACTGACATTGCTTCAGGGGCTGAGCAGCTCCAGAATAGAGCCTCTGGACACTAGAGGGCGCCATATACAAATATGAAACACCAAAGAAACCTGGTCCAGAGTAAAATTATTAATACAACTCCTGAGAAAGATTTAAATGATTTGAACCTCGTGACTCTTTGTGGAAGGGAGTTAAAAATAAAAATCATCAACATGCTAATGGAAGTATGGAAAGACATCTAAGAACGCAGGAATGAGTTCAGGTCAGAGATCTAAATGTTGAAGAGAACAATGGAGGGTATTAAAAGCAGGTTGGATATGGTGGAGGAGATGATAAATGAAATAGAAACTATAGAAGAGGAATACAAAGAAGCTGAGGCACAGAGAGAAAAAAGGATCTCTAACAATGAAAGAATATTGAGAGAACTGTGTGACCAATCCAAATGGAACAATATTTGCATTATAGGGATACCAGAAGAAGAGAGAGAGAGAAAAGATAGAAAGTGTCTTTGAGGAGGTAGGTGCAGAAAACTTCCCCAATCTGGGGAAGGAGATTGTTTCTTAGGCCACGGAGATCCACAGATCTCCCAACACAAGGGACCAAAGGAGAACAACACCAAGACACATAGTAATTAAAATGGAAAAGATCAAGGATAAGGACAGACTGTTAAAAGCAGCCAGACAAAGAAATAACATCACATACAAAGGAAAGCCCATCAGGCTAACATCATACTTCTCAGCAGAAACCATGCAGGCCAGAAGGGAGTGGCATGATTTATTTAATGCCATGAAGCAGAAGGGCCTGGAACCAAGATTACTTTATCTGGCAAGATTATTATTTAAATGTGAAGGAGGTATTAAACAATTTCCATATAAGCAAAAGCTGAGAGAATTTACCTCCCACAAACCATCTCCACAGTCTATTTTGGAAGGACTGCTATAGATGGAAGTGTTCCTAAGGTTGAATAGCTGTTACCAGAGGTAATAAAACCACAGTACAGAAAGTAGAACAGCTAATTACTAAGCAGATGCAAAATTAAATTAATTATC